GAGAGGATGATGAAGGCCAGAAGAAAAGCAACGAAAATATTCTTCCAAGTGTGGTAAAACTTGCCTGCGTGACTCGTTCATTCAGACAAACATTTTGAACCAGGCACTGTGTTAGGTATTTGAGAAATGTCAGGTAGTTTTTCTTTGCTTTAGTGTCACAAAGGCCTTTTGGAGCGTAGGGGTTCTAATACAAGTTAATGTTTAATGCATCCCACCATTAAACATGCAGGCAAACATAATAATCGTGGTTTATGTAGCTAAGAAATCCTGGCTAGTGAGATGATGATTTAAAATGTGCTGCATTATCATGTACTGAGTGGGTATTGGGCACAGCAGTTAAGCTGCAGGTTGTGGTGCTCCACCCCATATTGGAGTGCCTGTGTTCAAGTCCCAGCTTCACTCCCAAGTCCAGCTTCCTGCTGAAATGTATTCTAGGAGGCAGCAGATGGTGGCTGAAGTACTTGGGTCTTTGCCACTCACGTGAGAGACCTAGATGGAGTTCCTGACTCTTAGCTTCGGTTCCAACTGGGAGCTGTTGCTTACATTTGGGAAGCAAACCAGTAGGTAGGAGCTCCCTTTGTCTCTGTCTCTCACATAAATAATTTTTTTTAAAAATAAAATCTATTGTGTCTGTTCAGGTTGTTTTTTTTTCCCTAATATTCTTGCTTACCAGAACTTTTTATAACATTATCATGTTGGTTAACATGAATATTAATGAAGACCCTGAATAAATCTGGTGACTTTTCTATGTAACAGCCTGCATGAACCCCATTTCCATACTTTGTTCTTATCTCCACAGCTGAAATATTCGCTTTCCTGTTTCCTAAGTTCAGCCTCACTTTGACCTGGTAGCAGAGCCCAGATATAGGCAGGGGAACTCTTCCGGAACCTCCTCCTAGAGGTTTCTGGGGACTGTATCGTGAGACTGGCCCTGATCCCATGTTGAATGGCATTTCAGGGCCCCTGCTCCCCTGCTGCAGCTTTGTGACAGTGGACGTTTTGGTCCTGAGGTAGGGGCTTCATGAGACCACACTCCCAGGGCTTGCTTGCTGCGGTGCTTCTGTGCCGACACTGGGATGGGGTGGACCTGCTTGTGTGCTTCCTGCTGGTGAACTTCTGAGTCTGTCGGGCTCAGGGAAGAGTTTTTGACAGCACGTGCCCAGGCTGCATATTCTCCCTTCTCCTCCTGTTTGTCTTCCCCCATCATACACATGTGGCTTGAAACTGCTTCAGAAACTCAGATTGATGCGCACCTGTGGCCAGGTTAGTGGCCTTCTCACCGTGCTCCCTTATTGTACCATTCTGCTCCCTTCTCTTTCAGTCATTGGTAGCTATCCTGCTCAGTGTGTGAATTAGGAGACAGTGCAGACGTTTATAGACACTTTTTAAAATTTATTATGTTTTGCATATACAGAATTCTCTTCTGGATTCAGAAAGATTACAAGGAAGAGTACATTTGTGTCAAAGAATTTTTTTTTGTAATCATTGTGTATGTGAGGATATTTCAAGCAGTTTATGAAAAATCTTGTTAAAAAGTTTATTTTGCTGCAATAAAATTTTAAATTTGCTTATAATTTTTTCATAATACAGATAGTCCAAGAAATCTTTGAAAACTCCTAGTGTACATGGATTTCAAATGTTTGGGTGTATTTATATGTGTGCTAGAATATGTGGGGATAGTGATAGCTATGGAAGAAGTTCAGGAGAAAAGACCGAGTTTATTTTCATGAAGATTTACCAGTTGGCAATCACATAATAAAATTTGAAAGTAAAATTTTATATTAAATATGAAGATCCTCTTTTGGAAAGTGTTTATCATTAGAATTATTTGCTGTTTTTGTTGTTGCTCTCAGTAAACAACTTAGAATGAGCATTCTATTTCTCCTCTTTCCCATTGCAATGAATTAAATTCCTGGCAGGAAACCTAAATAGTTGCCAGTTTTGAATTTGAATTGCAGCAGCAATGTGTTTTCTGGATCCCTAGATCCCTTTCATAATATCATAGCCCTGGATACCATGACGTGTGGGACATTTTGTTGAAGTCCCTTCGGTTTTTCCTGCATCTCAGAGATGCTATCTGGATAGTGCAATGCAAGTGTTTAGTTATTTTACTTTATCAGAATAGAGATGCCTCTAAGTCTGAACGTTTTTATCAGTGGGGGCCAAAAAATTGCAGAGGGAGTAGAGATCAGTTGGTGTGTTTGTTTTTCTCTTCTTACTTATACTTAATGATAGTTTTTACCTCTTGAAATTTTAGTTGAAGCCTAGAAGTTACAGGACACACCCAATTTGTTTATAACTTTTTATCTCTACCTTCCTTAATATCAGGGTCATATGTGTCCTCTGTAACATAGACTCTGGTCCATGTCAGTCCTGTATGTGAAAGGCATATGACATATCTGTGTGGTTGGTGATTATGTGGGTATCATTCCTGTGGACACAGCCAGGAGTTTAGGGCCTGTTGCTGCTCTCTTTCCAGTTTGTGTCTTTTCTTCTTGGTGGCAAAGCACTGGCATCTTCATCCTCTCTGGCTGTGTGCTCCTCAGGGAAAAGGTCTTTCTCAACAAGATAAATCCTGATTATTTTAATCATCATTCCATTTTGATTTCCAGAGGTTCTGTTAGACCTGAGACTGTGAAGTAATGCTAGCCAAGGAGATGTCTGGGGAAGTCTAATAAGTTTTAGGAAAAATGTTCTTGCTCTTAAGAAGAGATACAAGAGAGAAAAGCAACCATTGTGCTTCTGATGTTGTCTGCCTATTGATATATGGAACAGCATAGCCACCTTGGAAGATCATGAAGGAAGCAAGCATAGGAAGAAAACAAATTTATGGAAAGTGGCGGAGTGGAAAGATGGGAAAAGCAGGGATTTTTGAAGCATTGATTCAACCCTAGTAGTATGTTTCTTTTTACATACATGCAAGATTTAACAAAATAAAAAACTTTAATACTTGACTGTTAAAAAACAAACTGTGCATCAGATAAGTGGTCTGAAAGGAACAGACAATGATAGCATCCAGCATCCTGTTCCTCAGTCTCTTCCATTCAACCGCTCTGGTCCCAGGATAGAAACCCTTCAACCTGGTTCCCATGGAATGGATACAATTTATAATCCCAATCTGCAGACCAGTAGGTTGCTTGTACAGATCTCTGCTGTTTCTATTTCAGGGAAATGTGGAGAAATGAAGTTTCACTGATGGCGTATCCTTGGTGGATACATTGACAGTTATACATAAAATCTTATTGCATCATGACAGCTCAGACCTTGTCATCAGAGATGAGTGAGTTTGAGATGGTTCTGCTCTCTGAAGGCTGTTCCATTAGAGCATTGGACATTTGGAGCCAGTTAAGTCTTTATTGTGTAGGCTGCCCTCTAAATTGTAAGATGTTTACAACATTCTTGGCCTTTTTGACTGTTTGCCAGTAGCACTCTTCTGTTGTGATGATCAAAAATGTCTCCAGAAGTAACCAAATGTCCCTTTGGAGGCAGAACTGCCCTGCTTGAGAGTCAATGGGTGACAGGTGGAGGACTATTTCTTACAGCTGCATTTTGTCCTTAGATTGGGACAGAAGAGAAAGAGAATCTGACTACTACTGCCTTAGCTACTTCATCTTATAATGAGTAAAATTCAATGAATTTGTAAGGTCTTCAAGTTGATTCTTCAACCATGCAAGGAACCTTATGATATGAGGTGTGTCTTGAGAAAAATATAGCTGCTGTTTAAATTGTGCACCCTTAAAAACCAGCAAAATGAAGCAATGTCAGAATTATATCATTTAAAAATGATTCATTTATTTGAAAGGCTGAGTTGTAGAGAAAGGAGGAGAGAGAGAGGGATGGAGAGAGAGAGATTGATCTTCCATCTGCTGGTTCACTCCTCCAATGGCTACAGTGGTTAGGGCTGGGCCAGGTCATAGCCAGGAGCCTGGAGCTTCATCTGGATTTCCCACTTGGGTGCAAGGGCAGAAGCATTTGGGCCATCTTCTGGTTTCCCAGGCATAGCAGCTGGAGCTGGACTGCTGTGTCATGACACAGGCCCAGAACTACATCATTTTTAGATCCCACCACCAAAGGTTAGGTGAATGGAGATTTAACAAATAGCTTCTAATGTGATGATGTTGAACTGTGATTCCAATGAGGCTTCACTTTGTCACTGCTGCTAGAGTCAGACAGGAATTCATACTCCACTTGACTGTGGGAAAAGTATACTTGTAAGGGCAGTTCAGATGTGAACTGAATTACATCTACATTTAAAAATATTTAGGAATGGAACACATCAACCATTTCCCATTTAATTATTAAAAGGAAAAGCAGGTATCATGAGCAGAGAGTACCATAATGCCTTTCTTTATATGACAGAATTCTCATAATATGCCTATGATTTAAATATATGAATACATTTTACATGTTAGGAAACAGGATTTTTTCCTTTTGAATCTCTGGGAATTTGCAGTGTCTCTCATATATAAGAGATGTATTATACATGATAGATAAATATTTGAGTGTTGCCAATTTATCAACTCCCTGAAACAGACTTTACATTAGGACTTAAAAGCAAACATGGCCGGTGCCGCGGCTCACTAGGCTAATCCTCTGCCCGCGACGCTGGCACCCCAGATTCTAGTCCTGATTGGAGCACTGGATTCTGTCCCAGTTGCTCCTCTTCCAGTCCAGCTCTCTGCTGTGGCCCGGGAAGGCAGTGGAGGATGGCCCAAGTACTATGGGAGACCAGGAGGAAGCACCTGGCTCCTGGCTTTGGATCGGCGCAGTGCGCCGGGTGTAGCAGCCATTTGGGGCAGTGAACCAATGGAAGGAAGACCTTTCTCTCTGCCTCTCTCTCTCTCTCACTAACTCTGCCTGTCAAAAAAAAAAAAAAAAAAAAGGGCAAACAAACATTAAAGAGCTTTTTTTTTTAAAAAAATATTTATTTATTTATGTTTGTAGACAGAGTAGGAGAGAGAGACACAGAGATATTCCATCTGCTGGTTTTTTTCCCCTAAATGCCTGAAACAGACAACGCTGGGCCAGGCTGAAGTGAGAAGCCTGGAACTCTATCTAGGTTCCTCCTGTGAGTGGCAGGATCATCTGTTGCTTTTAAGGTTCATCAGCAGGAAGCTATGTTGAGAGCATGGAGTAGCCTAGACTTAGACCAGGCACTCTGATTTGGAATTTTTACTTCCTAAGTGATGGCTGAACAAGTGTGCCGCGGTGCCCACCCCTTAAGGCACTGTTAAGGCAATGAAGATTCTGTGGCTTGCAGAGTAATGCAGTGATTTGTAATCCTTGTGATGGTTCTTTTCTCTGCCAACCAGTACCTTTCCAGTTACTCATCTGTTAATTTGCCTTTGAAGACAACTCTTAGATTTGTCTATGTCTTTGTGTTTACTGTTGCTTCAGCTCAAGCTGTTTTCTTCTCTCTAAACTCAGGTCACCACATTATTCTCTTTCACCCATTTTACACATAAATACCTTTTTAAAGAGTGAACATTTGGAAACTCATTCAAATCACCTCCTGCACTGAAAACTCTGTTTGTTTCTCCTAGTTAATATAGTACAAAAGCTAATGCTGTTGACCTTGAATACTCAGATCATCATTTGCCTGTCTGTCTTCCTCGGTGGTCCAGTCTCTGGCTTTGCCGAGCTCCTGTTCTTCAGACCCTTTCTTTAGCCTGCCTCTGAGGCCCCTTCCTATCACATGGTCTCGAAGCTCACTTTGTCCTTGTTCCTCATTCTTGGCTTGGGTCACTCTGATTTTTTTTTCGGGGCTCAATTAAAGATCAGTTTCTTAGAGAGGCATGTCCTGCCTCCCTGCTGAGTTTTTCTGCCTTTTCCATTCTTTCTCTTGGTGCTCTGGGTTTTCCTTTGAAGCTTTTATTCCAGTTTGTGTTTTGGTAAGTGTGTATTGGTTTAATTGTCTACCCTCACTGGACAATAGATACCACAAGAATAGAATTATACTTATTTTCTTTTCAAATCTGTGTTCTCTACTGAGCATTTGCTCAATGCATAGTAGGCTCTCAGTGGCTATTTCAGTGAATAAATTTGAATTTACCTTGCAAGATGGGACCATAGCAGAATAACACATATGTTTATACTCTTATTTTCCTCATATTGAATCTTTTTGCCTGGTGTCTGCATTTAATGCTAGAAGTAAGTAGGGATGATTTGCTCCTACTTCCCACAGAATGGAATATTTATTAGTATCAAACTGTACACCAGAACTGGCAACTGGCCAGGTACATGTGCTGATACCTAAATGACTTCTTTCTCTTACAGAGAGAAAAATAATGTAAAGTTGTTATGCAGCTTTTCAATCTATTCCAAACTAGGAAAGAAACTCAAGACTTTTAAGAATCCTTACCTACTTATTGCTTTAGAGTTTATTCATGCTGATATCTGGACTTATTGCTTAGAAGGTTTTTGACCAATAGGATTTCAGCATGCAGTGCACTAAAACAAATGTTTGGATTGGCTTAACCACCTCTGATGTCATAATTTCCTCATTAGGAAGTCATAATTTCTTGAAATCACATTGTACATATAACAACGCTTGTTATTTTGTTTCATTATAAGAAAGATAATCTACCAAAAATAAAAATGCTGGAAGGAGGAAGATTTCTTTGATCCACACAAACCTTTTCCATTTACAGGCTTTGGTAATCTATTACCAGCAGTTGAAGCTATCTTCTCTACTTTCTTTTACAACTGACGTTGTTTTATTTTTCATGTTTGTCAGTTAATAGGCAAATGGAGGAATGGACCTGCTTAGAATTACTCCTTCAACTCATAGTTCTGTTTCATCTCGACTGTTAAAGCTTAGCATCCTTCTACTTCTTAGCCTTCCTGACTCGAAAGGAAAAGCAATATGGACAGCTCACCTGAACATAACGTTTCAGGTGGGAAATCGGATTGTATCAGAACTAGGAGAGAGTGGAGTGTTTGGGAATCATTCTCCTCTGGAAAGGGTATCTGGTGCGGTGGTACTTCCTGAAGGTTGGAATCAGAATGCCTGTAATCCTTTGACCAATTTCAGCAGACCTGAACAGGCAGACTCTTGGCTGGCCCTCATTGAACGAGGAGGCTGTACTTTCACACACAAAATCAATGTGGCAGCAGAGAAGGGAGCAAATGGGGTGATCATCTATAACTATCCAGGTACAGGCAACAAAGTATTTCCCATGTCTCACCAGGGAACAGAAAATATAGTCGCAGTGATGATAGGCAACCTAAAAGGCATGGAACTTTTGCACTTGATCCAGAAAGGAGTTTATGTGACAATCATCATTGAAGTGGGAAGAATGCATATGCCATGGCTGAGCCATTATGTCATGTCTCTGTTTACCTTCCTGGCTGCCACAATTGCCTACCTTTTACTGTACTGTGCCTGGAGACCTCGAATGCCCAATTCTTCCACCTGGAGGCGAAGACAAGTGAAGGCAGACGTGAAGAAAGCTATTGGTCAGCTTCAAGTTCGAGTGCTCAAAGAAGGTGATAAGGAACTAGATCCAAATGAAGACAGTTGTGTTGTTTGCTTTGACATATACAAGCCCCAAGATGTAGTACGTATTTTAACTTGCAAACATTTTTTCCATAAGACATGCATTGACCCCTGGCTTTTAGTACATAGGACTTGTCCCATGTGCAAGTGCGATATTTTGAAAACTTAAGAAACCTGGAGAATTTTCTGAAGATGTAACCAGATCTTTCTAAAGATCGAGATTAGATGAATGCTGTATTGCACTTCATTTATAGAGAAAATTTCAACTTTAGCTTCTCTGCCTAACTACCAAAGGGGGTGAAGTTTCTGTGTTTAAAAAATAAAACTCCATGTCATTGCCCATTTAGTTGAACTGTTGTCTTTATCACCGGTTTTATTACTCATTTTTGCCTTTACAAAAAATAGACATTAATATGTTTAAAATAGCACTAATCCTTATTTTCACATTGCTATGATTATGACATAGATCCTGCAGAGAATTGGGCATACTATTTTAAAATTTCTTCAATACTGATTTTCGTACCTTGTTTCCATATTTTGATGTATTGTTATATAAGATAATTTATGTCTTAGTAAAACTTCATTATAGGATTAGATCTTGATTTAATTTTCATGGTTAATATATTTTATTAATACTCAGGAAATATGGTTTCCAAAACTAATTACTAGATGGATAATATACTCTAAATAATTATTTTACATGGTAGTACTTTTATTATATAACTGAAACTGTTAGAAATTCTTATAGGCCTCATTTAAGGCAGAATTACAAACATTGAATTCTATTTGCCAAAGCTCTTTATCTCTTAGCATGATGAGTTAATCAGCTATGGGAGCAGATTTCCCTTCTATAACTTCCCTAGTGAATCCTTTTTTTTTTTTCTTTTCTTCTCCAAAATAATAGAGAATATTTCTCTGTTTGGGACCTTTTGATAACACAGAGTTGAAATTTTGTTTAATTCCTTTTCCATATTATTTCTTTTGCCTCTGACTAAACACCTATGTAACAATAGGAGGCTGAAAGATTTAGGGTTTGTTGTTTTGATGATTATCTGTCTGGATGATATGGTAAACCCTTGATGAAGAGCTTAGATAAAACATTTTGTGAATCTATGTGCTAGGACCACATTGTTTTTTAAAGTAATGTGAAATGAAGTCAGATAAATGGCATTTGGGAGAGAGAAATCAACTATTGTAAGCTGAAATTTTCATACCGTTTGCTGGATCCTTGGGGCTTTTGCTTCTTCCTGTTTACTGCCTTAAGTATCGTGCTGTTAATTCATGATTCTAACTCCCTTAATCAGAGTGAGAGCCTATCAAAAGTGCCCCCGCTATGTATACAGGCCAAAGTCAATTATTTCTAAGATGACAAAGGTGACAAACGTTAAAATATACCTCCCACGAAAGTGCATGGCGATAAATGTGGCTGCCCCTGTTTATGACTTCACCTGTTATTCTTTAGCTTTGAAGTCATATCACACCGTTGATAATGAGGGTCACAAAAATGTAAGCAGAACAAACAGAGTATGTGGGATCTTCCACCAGGGATATTTGTTCAGTTTGGCAAAAATGTTTGATAAGAGCATCTTTGACCTTTAACTGTCACATTGTCACCCTGAAGTGGGGATTTCAAAGTTTTTATAATCAATAGTTACACCTTTTAAAAATGAATTGGGCTAACTTAATACTGGAATATTTGATGTTCCTGCCCACATCCTGCTTCTTCCCTTAAAATCTTGTTAGATTAGTCATTAATGTCACAGTCTGCTGAGAAATGAGTTTTCTTACTCCTGTCATCCATGTATTTGTATAGACCATGTAAGCGTGAGAAAGTGAAGCTCTCAAGTAAACTGAGGCTATCCTCTTTTGAAAATTGAAACTACACACAGCCAACAGACTTCTGAGAAAGTTTGCATTAAATAAATGTAGTACAGTGGTTTACATGACAAAAATACAGCACTTGGAGCTGAGGTAATAGTATTGTTACTGAACTGTCTGCTTTTACTTCATATTTTGTCGCAGTGCTAATATTTAATTATTTTGTTAAACTTACCATTTTGTTGGAAATATTTTCTTGGTACCTGATAGCTCTATAGCATGGTCACACCTGCTTTCAGATTTTAAAGGGCATGCACTGTATTCAGCTTATGTTTTAGTTTAATGTGCTACCTGCTACGATTATATGTACTTTAGTGATAAAATCCATCTTATAACATAAAAGTCACCCTGACAACAGTAGAAATATTTAAGCCAGTAGATTTACAGCATGCTGTAATCTCTACTCTGATTGGCTGTTTTGTCTTTTATGTCATAATCACATCATGAAATAGTAAGCAGTATCTAGTATTATAGCATTGAGACTGGGGTTTTTTTTTCCAATGTAGTTTTTCTACTTCTCTCTCTAATTAAACATCTGAAACTCATAAGACAGCATTAAGAATTTCTTACAAAAACATGCTGGAAGATGGTGGATCTTCACTCAGAAGGCTTTTTTCTCTTCCTTGTTTTAAACTGATTGTCAACAGATGTGGACGCCACATCTTTTTGTTGAGTTGGTGCTCAAGTCACTAATTGGAACAAGAGATGACTCTACTCAAGAATGGCACTTGGAGAAACAACACTGCATCTTCCTGGCTTCTGAAGTTCACTTTTCTTTGGCTGTTTAGTCAGTACTCTTGCACAACAAGTGCTGTTTGGACTGCATACATGAACATATCATTTCATGTTGGGAATCGCATGTTGTCAGAGTTGGGGGAGACTGGAGTATTTGGAAGGGGCTCTGCTTTGAAGAGAGTGACAGGAGTTATAGTGCCACCAGAGGGAAAAACCCAAAATGCATGTAATCCTACTACCAGTTTCAGCAGAACAAAGAACTCAGAGACATGGCTAGCACTTATTGAACGGGGAGGTTGTACTTTCACACAGAAAATCAAGGTGGCGACTGAGAAGGGAGCCAGTGGAGTGATCATCTATAACTTTCCAGGAACTGGCAATCAGGTTTTCCCCATGACTCATCAGGCATTTGAAGGCATTGTTGTGGTTATGATTGGTAACTTAAAAGGTATGGAAATTTTGCATTTAATTCAGAAGGGAGTTCATGTAACAGTCATGGTTGATGTGGGGAGAAAACACATCATCTGGATGAATCATTATTTTGTCTCTTTTATGATCGTCACAACTGCTACCTTAGCATATTTCGTTTTTTATCATATTCGAAGACTTTGGATAGCAAGGATTCAGAATAGGAGATGGCAGCGATTAACAACAGATATCAAGAGAGCATTTGGACAACTTCAACTTCGGGTATTAAAAGAGGGAGATGAGGAAATAACTCCAAATGGCGATAGCTGCGTAGTTTGCTTTGAACTCTATAAGCCTAATGATATAGTTCGTATTCTGACTTGTAAACACTTTTTCCACAAGAATTGCATTGACCCCTGGATTCTAGCCCATGGGACATGCCCCATGTGCAAGTGTGACATTCTTAAAGCTTTGGGAATTCAAGTGGATATTGAAGATGGAACTGAATCTTTACAAGTCCTGATGTCAAGTGAATTGCCTGAAATCCTGTCACCTAGAGAAGAGGAGGCAGATAATGAACCTCCTCCTGCAAGGATATCAGATAAAGCAACCCACGTGGAGGAGAACCCGACTTCTCAGAATGATGACCGCCAGGCTGATTTAGTTGTGGAAAACGTTCATCCTTCAACCTTGACAGCTTGAACTTTGAGGAAGTGGATTAAACCTGTTTGTCAAATCAGGTCCTAATACTGACAAGCATTTGTCTGTTTAAAGTGTGGTTTTTGTGTCTTTTTTTTTTGTTACTTTAGTAATTTTCTACATTCTTTGTCAAGCCTCAAAGAAAAAAGAAAAAGGCCTAGCATGATTTTTTTTAAATTTTTGAGCTTTGCTAAGCTTAACTTTTTGTCAATATGTTATTCCTGTGAGTGTACATATGTTTATATCTATGTACACATGCATGTTAAAGCCGAGGACAAACTTTTTTCATAAATATTTTTGTACATATATTGGGCTGTTTTGTGGTAAGAAGATTGTTAATATATTTGCATATTTGTTAAAACACAGAAAGTATCAATTAAGTTTGATTAACAAATTATCTTTTTATGTGTTGGGAAAGTAAAAATCAGCTTTCAATAATATATTGTACAATATGTTAACTGATTAATCTTTGTGCTTTTTTCATTCTTAGCATGAAACATTTGCTGTACAGAATTTTATTACTCTTAATCTTGAACAGTTTGTTCAAGCAAATCATATATTGTGTATTATCTACATAGAGCAATTGAAAAGATTCAAGCATTCTTTAGGCAGCAAATATTTCAGCACTCAATATATTGTCATTATAATCTTTACATGTTCACAGTGCATGGAAAGATTTAAATGATAAAGAATGCCTGTGATATGTAGCCATGGATTATTTACTTTCCATGTGTTCTACCCATTCCCTAGTTTATTTTCTGCCATTAAATAAAATGATGTAAGTGTGCCAAATTATTTTAGAGTTAAGTAGTTTCATGTAGCAGTGATTATTATGATATTTTGCAGGTTTTTTTGTTCACCAAATTCTAGGTGTCTAGCATAGTATTTAGTACTCAATATGTTTGAAACAAAAATTTTAATGAGTAAGGATAAATATTAATTCATAACCTATTTAATATGAAAAACCAGGTAATTTAATCCTAGTCATACAAAATAATGAGAAAAAATGCTGAAAATTTTCACCCTAAATCATTCTAACAAATATTAAATTATAATTTTAGTTCAGAAGTTATTGTTACAGTTTACCATATAAAATGTCCACAAGGAGCTCTAAGCTCTCTAACACTAACAATGGAATATGAATTATTGGACAACCCCAGAGAGAGATCTAGTGAAGTGCAATTTTGCAAATTACTCAAATTCTGAATTCCTGGAATTCAGAAACAGGCGGAAGAGGCAGTAGATGGCTCTAACTACAGCTCCCAGGCAAGAATATGTACAGGAGGAGGAACACTCATCCAAGGCCAAAGAGAGTCAGGACACTGCCGAATCTGGGCAGATGATCAGATGGGGTAAGTTTTGTGTGGTTCTACACAGCCTTTTTTACACTCAAACTGGGGGGTTTTTATTGTGTTAATCACAAGAACTGTGCTTTGAAAGAACTGTGTTAACACCAGGGCTGCTGGAGGTGTTAGCAGGAACACTGTTTTGAGTGCCATTTTGAGTTTATCTTGGAGGGGGGCAGGTAAAGTGGAGAGTAAAGTCATTTTCTGAGGATCCAAGAATTACGATACAGCATGCTGTGAAAACCACTGCTAAGGAGATCAGCTCCCAAGCCAGGAAAAGCTGCTGTTCCTAGACTGGCCACTCAGTATTCCAGTCTCTGCCACTACAGGCTGATGGAGGTGGCTGGATTGATTTCCACAGGTTGCCCTGGAAAATCACTGGTGCTGTGGAAACAAGTGTACCTGGTAATGTTGGCCAAGTCTGACTCCAGAGACATAGGATCGTTATCATTACAGTCTTAGGAAATTCATGCAGGATACCCTTTCCATGATAGACTTGACACTTGAGCAACTTACTTGCTCTGCACACCATCAGTACCACTGCGCTCTCTTTCCATTTTTCTTCTGCACCCTCATTGATTTCTCCTTTCCTATCCTCCCCTCCCATTTCTTTCCTTTGCTCATCAGTATCAGCTTAAGCCCCAGTTTACCCCTTTGTAACAAGTAAGTCTGTGTCTACGTTTATTATAATATACTTCATTTAATGTGAACATTTAACATTTATCACAATGTGTATGTCTTGATTTGAGAAATTGTACTAAATGCTCTTTAAAGGATCATTGGAATCTATATTTTAGATGGGATAGGAAGCATTATGCCAGAGAACTCGAGAACTGTTGCTGAGTGCTTGTCATGTACCAGACAATGGACTAAGTGCTTTATGTGCCTATTTTTTATATATCTGAACAAAGTAGCAGTTTTAATCCTTGTCTTTAGAATGTTGTAAACAGATCGATAAACCACTTTTATTCTCACTTTTGTACCTGGAAATGGCACTGCTATGTCAAATGTTGGTTATTATTCATTGTGATAGATTTGTACCTATTTTGCCAGCTATACCATTTTATCTTGTACCTATTGATGGAAATATATTGTGCCATAAATGTATAGATCTGTAACATGAATTACTTTTCTGTTAATACCAGTGTCATAACAGCCTTCCCTGCAGTTCTCCTTTGTGTATGTTTTCCCATTCTCTGTTAATAAAATTTTGATTCCCTACTCCCTACTTAGTAGGGAATTGCTGTTCTTGCTTTTTTCATTATTGGAATATATTAGGTTGAATACTTTGCTAAATAGGAAAATATTCTAAAGCACTGTGCATGGATGATGTTTCAGGTAAAATAATTTACTGTTTTTACATCTTACTTTAATGTTCACTGCACTGATATCCGTGTCTATTGCTCAAGAATTGTTATAATGTAATCATCCTGTAATGTTGGCCAGCCATTCTTTGCAATAATGTGAGCCCTTCAGAAGGTCTAGTGAGTGCTAATGATTTGACTTTTTTCAGGGATTTAGCTTATTGTATACTTAAGGTGTTTACCCTATCTCTAAATTCAGTGATTATTGAAGTAACAGGAAATAGTCAAGTGTGGGGAATCAACAGTTTGGGGAAACACTGAAGCAAAAAGTTGTTTTCACTCATTGGTTTTGTGAAAGGATCATTTTAATGTCAATTTCATCCTCCTCAAATGCCCTCAAAGGCTGGAGCTGTGGCCATCTGAAGCCAGGAGCCAGGAGCTTCTTCCTGATCTCCCACACAGGTGCAGGGGCCCAAGCGCTTGAGCCATCCTCCACTGTTATCCCAGGCCACAGCAGAGAGCTGGATTGGAAGGGGAGCAGCCGGGACTAGAACCAGCACCCATGTGGGATGCTGGTTTGTTTGTTTCTTGGGTTTTGTATTTACTGCATTTTCCTTTAATGTTAAGGGATGAAAAGTAGGGATAATTTTATTATGTTTACTAACACAGAAATATCTTGATATATATACATACATGATTTTCTAAAATGTAAGAACTTTAAGAGAGGGGCAATGGAGAAAATATAATTTAACCTTAGAGAAAGAGTTTGCTTCATACTGGTAGGTATTAGCCTTGTTTCCCTCACCCCTAGTCTGCCTGCCAAGACCTCCTCTTCCACAGAACACCATAGCGTGTTCCACGTTGACTCACAATTATGGTGCCATCTTTGTCAGATTTCCAGGTCTTGTGTCTCTTAATCATTTGAGGTACAACCTGGATGTGCTTTGCCATCGTTGATGTCCAAGGTGGTCCTCATTTCACGCTTCTCTACACTGTCACCTTCATGTCCAGGTCAGCAGTGTACCATGCCAAGCTCTATCATTCTTGAAAACTTCCCAGTTCACAGCACCTTTCTCAAAATTCCCTGACTTTGCTTGACTTCTCATCCCCACCACCTCGAAGTTTGTTCTTGACTCTCATTCCAAGCAAATTTTCTCTTAATCATCTCCCCAAAGTCCCTCTTTTTTCCATCTTCATCCTAGAGCCAGTTTTACTTTTATTCTACCAGGTGCCATCTAATTCCTTGCCTCCTAGACTCATGCCTACTATTTGCTTTTGGTACTTCTATTTCAGAGTAGGTAATTAGTACTCCAGTTATGGTGTCTGTTATCTGATTACATTCAGGTCTTTGCTTCTGTTTACAAACCCTTTATTAATCTCTTAACTCCCTTTTGTATCCGCATAAAGCAGTTCTACTAAACCTTGCTGCACATCAGAATCCCCTGGAGAGCATTTAAAAATCTCTGTGCTCTGGCTGATCTTAAGACAACTCTGGATTGAGAGTAACTTTTAAAAAGTTACCAGAGAGGGGCCAGCGCCGTGGCACAGTAGGTTATCCTCTTCCTGCAACACCAGCTTCCCATATGGGTGCTGGTTCTAGTCCTGGCTGCTCCTCTTCCAATCCAACTCTCTGCTGTGGCCTGGGATAGCAGTGGAGGATGGCTCAAGTGCTTGGGCCCCTGCACCTGTGTGGGAGACCTGGAAGAAGCTCCTGGCCCCTGGCTTTTGGTCGGCACAGCTCCAGCCTTTGCGGTCATTTGGGGAGTGAACCAGCGGGTGGAAGACCTTTCTCTCTGTTTCTCCCTCTCACTGTCTGTAACTCTGTCTCTCAAATAAATAAAATAATAAATCTTTAAAAACAAAAGTTACCAGGGGTTTGTAAAGTGCACACAAAACTGAGAACACTGCCACGGGGCTGTTCCAAAGAGCCTTTACATTAATCAGAAGTGACCAGTTTCACCCTCAGTATCCTTCAGGTTGCCTTGTTTCCACTTTATAAAGGGTTAAATTTCATGGAAAGCAATGGAGAAAGGCTTTTGGGACTATGAAAGAATGGAGAAACAACATTTAAAGAAGGAATTTGAATTAAAACTACTGATTTGGGAAGATGGGCAGTATAGTCAAAGAGCAATGTGAACCAAAGTGTTTTCATAAAGAATTGTTGGGTGTCATGTGCAATTTTTGCTAAGGAACTTGAGAAGAAGATAAGGAACTCAAAAAGCTGTTGAAGTAATCCAGGAGCAACCAGATTGAAATAGGAACTAAGGCGGTGCTAAAGGAATTAATGTTACCTCCAAGAGAACATGTTCTTCGATAACTTTATTTCCTGATAGGAATTTTCTCCTTCATTTTTCAATGACTCAGGCTAACACTGAATTCAGAACTCTTCTATACCCATACTTTAAGCTTCAATCCATCTCCAAC